GAAGAGATGAACTTCCGTTCAGTGGTTCCGAGAACATCAGTAGCGACCGTGATGTACTCAGTGCCCGTGTGCAGGCGCTGTTCTTCCCTGTGCACTCGGGCCCCCGCCCTCCCAGCAGCCTGGAAAGCAGCTGTGTTGGTTGCAGTTCCATGTGTCAGGACACTGATGCTGGAGTGACAGAGTGACAACCTGAATTCTTTCCTGTTCCTTCTGAGCCCTTCCTTACATTTAATTATTAAGCTCATGTTCCTTCATTCATTTTTTTCTTTCTTTCTTTTCTTTTTTTTTTTTTGAGAGGTTTTTGCTATAGGGTGTGTGCACTCGACAGACAGACAGAGACAGAGAGACAGAAAGTGAGAAATCACCCCCCAGGGGGCATGGCCACGCCACCGGAATCCCTTCCCCTCCATTCTCCTCTCGGGATCTTGGGCACGCACGCAGACGTGCCTGGCGTGAGTTTTAAGGCACCGGGTCCGGGACTCGAACTGCTATCGACTACGTGGGAGTCCAGTGACATAGCCATTACGCCAACTGCTGGTCCCATTTTTTTTCTTTCTTTTTAAATTGTCAAAGGCACGTGCTTTCCCCAGAGAGAGATGAGGAGAGCACCCCCCCACACACACAAACACACACCACAGTGGGGCATGGTCATGCTGCAATCCTTTCTTCTCCATTTCTCCATGCTGTCAGGGTTTGGGACAGCACACAGCACCAGACTGTACCTGGTGTCTTTAATATATTTACACACACACATATTTATATAAATAAATACATGTATCATGTTTGATTTTTGTATCAACATTGTGTGTGTGTGTGTGTGTGTGTGTGTGTGTGTGTATGTGTGTGAATTGCACATTTGTTAGATCCCAGGCTTAGTATATAAGATTTCCCAAGACCTTTGCCCAAGTTGCTCTTGGACTGCTGACAAGGACCTGTTGGTGTGGTGGCTGAGGTCACTCAGCTGCTGATGGTCTGACACACCTGTTTCCGGAATTCCCTATGCCCTCCTCGGTGAGCAGCTGTATGAAAGTTTTCCTGGGCACATGCTGGGAGTGTGTTTGATGGTTTGTTTCTATAAGGTAATTAACTAAATCAGAGCTTTCTTACTTGCATTCCTGTCTGGACAAAGGGATGTCGTCCCCCCTTGTGTAGAAATAGGCGATCCCACCCCTCCTCAGCTGCCTCTCTCCGGAATAAGCATTCGTAAAGCAGGATACAGTTTCCTAACTTTATCTACAGATCCTGGAGGGACCCTCAACTCCCCTGCGAAGGAGAGCCATGGAGCCCAGCATCCTGCCAGGAGGAAACGGGCCGGGTCTTCAACCCTTACTCACGGGAACTCACTGACTAGTTACCTTCAGGCTTTGGGGGGAAAGGTAGAATCAAAGTGAAGCAGGCATAGAAATGTCAGGTGCCCAGACTTCTGTGAGAAGAACTCCCTTGGCATTCTTTCGGACTGGGGACCACCCAAGCCTGCCTCTAGTAGTTTTCGTTTTTCAAGATGCTAATTAGTTGTCTTGTGAATGATTCTCAAGTTGAATTTGGACTTCATGGAATGTTCTTACTACCTTTTAAATTTTGGAATTTCAGAAAAATAGGTTTTTATTTCTAAATTGAAGGAGAAAAAAAGTAAGAAATGCCATTGCCTTCCCTGCATTTCACTTCATACTTGTTCAGATCGAGTCTGCTGTGGGTCACAAACTCCAGCCATCATCTCCTAGAGTTCTGGACGTAGCTACTCTTCTTCATTTCTTTAGGCATGCATTGATAACTAAGTTTGGGTTCTGCAAGAAACACTTACGAATTAAATTGGAAGAACTGCTCGTGTTTTCTGGTAGGAAGGAATGGATGGAAGCTCTCCCACTGCTGTTTGTCTCTCAGGGAGCAAATACTTAAGCATAGAGTTGAGTGGATGATCCAGCCAGAGACCTGTCTTGTAGTAAAGAGCTGACATGGGATAGACTAATAGGTTGTGGTCACTTCTAATTGGATATGAGCAATTTTACTAGTTTCTGAATGGCCGTCAAAGCCTCAGGTTATTTTCAGAAGAAATAGTTTTTCTGGGAGTAACTTGGTCGTCTTCTCACATGTAAATGAGGACACTTTGGATTTTTATTTCACTTCACCAGAAGTATCATCTGGTGAATGATCATCTGGATGGGCCAGCGTGTGGTATGGTGGTTAAGACGCTGGACTCCCACATGGCTGACCATGGTTCAAGACCCAGAACCAGCAGCTTGCTTTCTCACTTTCTCTCTCTCTCTCTGTCTCTGGTGAGTGCACATACCCTATAGCAAATAAACCCAATAATAATAATTAAATATTTTTAAAAAGAAATTAGAGGTAGCATCTGAGTAACAAATAAACCAGCCCATTTTTGAAAAGTTCAAAATGAAAAAAGAGCAAGAAGGAGAAAGTGAGAAAATCCCTCCTACCCCCTCCACCATATTTCAGCCTCTTTTTTATTTTCTACTGAGAGGAAATTCATTATCTGATCTTTGGTTTCATTTATTTCAGAGTCTGTGCTGTGCTCTTAGTGGAGCTGGCTTCTGCCAAGATTATATTCTGACAGGGTGATGGGGGCCGGAGCCCGGCTGGCAGTGTGAGAGCGCTTGCTTTGCACAGAGAAAATGGGTGCCCCACCCCCTCACTTCACCCGGAGCTGGTGGCAGAAGAGGAATTTGCTGTTCTCAGTTGATCTGTCTCTATCAGGGTCTCTCCTTTTGTGGCCCTACCTTCTGTGAGTGAGGAGAATGGAGATCGGCGTGTTGAACCTGTCATAGGCTGTTCTTTGGATTATCTACACGAAACATTTTCTATTAGAAAAGGGGCCAGGAGGCTGGGGGCTTCTGCAGACTGGCTGAGGTTGAAATGGCTCTCCCCAAGGACTTCATGGGTGGCTGGGCTGGAGGTGGGGTGCAGAGACAGGCAGAGGAATTTTCAGGATCAGATAGAGTGGTTTAGAATTAATTTTCATTAGTCAAAAGCTTACATTTGACCATGGTCCATGATAACCAAGGCATGAGCTTGTTCACAACCCCCTCTTTTCCCACCTTTCTAACCCCAGGAGCACTTAAGTTACTGATTGCTCGCTGAAAGGCCTAATCAGGACAGTGCCCCACAGAAAACAGGCACAAGCAGAACACTGATGCCCAGGGCTGATGCTCAGAGTGTACTAGTTGCCTTTAAAACAGTGAAACCCAAGTAATGAAACTGGCTCGACTCGGCCCTGCGAGACCCTGGGAAGCCCAGCCTGTGCTTGGGTACAGAGCGACCAGCTTCACATTCCTTGTAGACGTCTGTGGTTAGTCATCTTTCATACTTAAGGGCAGCTCTGCCCTGTGCATGCCCAGGCTTCCAGGCCGGGGGGCTTTGGGTGGTGACTGGCTTCCCTCCCTCCGTGCAACACGGTCATGGTCAGAGGGAAGTTTTAATGGCGTGCCATGGATGTCTGGATCAAAGGGAAAGCAGCATTGCGGCGACCATGCTAAGCTTAGTTACCTGTTCTTTAGAATTCTCAGGTGACTGACCAATGGCTGACCTTTATTTTCCTGTATTCTGAGCGCCATGAATTTTCTCAAAGGCTGATTTTCTTTGCCTTCATAATAATCACTAGTCATGTCCTCCTTGCATTGCATCATCCTGATTTTAAAGCCCGAGTCCTGGAGACGACTGTGCCTGATATTTTTGTTCCCCAAGACACCCTGGGTTCCCTTAACATCTTGATTTCTCTTGCAGACAGCTCTTGCCTGTGGAGATGCGTGTCTCATGCGTGCCCTGTGTCTGGTTTCTTTGTACCCAGGCCTTCCGCCTTATCTAGCCCGACCTACCCGGACCTGCCCTTTATTCGGATCTCCCCGCACCGGAATCCCGCTGCGGCGTCGGAGTCTCCCTTCAGCCCTCCGCACCCGTACATCAACCCGTACATGGACTACATCCGCTCTCTGCACAGCAGCCCGTCCCTCTCCATGATCTCGGCAGCCCGGGGGCTGAGCCCCACCGACAGTAAGTTTCAGGCCACCTCTGCCCCCACAGGCCGTGCCTCCTCCTCCCCACCTCTCTCGGGTCCAAGCAGGTCTCATGTTTCGCACGCGTGGCCCACGTGCCAGACACCGTCCTAAGGGCTTCAAGTGTGCGGTTTCATTTCCGCCTTCAGCACCTCTGTGCCAGCGGTGGTGTGTGTGTGTCCATCTCAGTAAGAACCACACCGTGCAGGGGATCCAGTCACTTGTCCCCGATCCACAGACCCCTACGTCCTTGCTTTCACCACCGTTGGGTTCTGCTTCTCCACGTATGATGGGGCCCAGGTGGTTCAGTACTGTCGGTCCGTGGACCACGCTTTGAGGAGCAGAGGCTTGGCAAACATGGCGGTCCACACCTGTTGCGTGTGCCTCCTGTCCTTGACCACACCACGTGGAAGCTAGCCGAGAGAAGTGAGAAACAAAAGGAACTTAGACTTTATTTCTACAGTACTTGATCTTAGGCTCTTCAGGATCTGATTGCCGTTGGTCCTATTAGCTGCCATTACTTTCCATGGGACTCTTTTTTCTTTTGTTTTTGATTTGCTGTAAGGTGCCTGCACTCGCCGTATAGAGACCAAGGAAAGTCACAGTGAGAAAAAGCACCACTCAGGAATGAGAGCCACATTGCAGTCCTTCGTCCTCTATTTTTCTTTCAGGATTTTGGGCATGCATACACATGTACCCAGTGTGTTTCTCGATCCACCGTGTCTGGGACGCGAACTGTGCCATCAGCGTCGTAGGATCCAGCCAGCCCAACCACCACACCCCTGGTTGGCCCGTTATGTGACTCTTTAATAGGAACCATTTATTCCCCTATTGTCAGGTTATAAACCATTCCTTCTATTGAGGGAAAGTATTGCCCCCATGTCATGCATACACATTCAAATTTGCTTACCCAGAGTTGTCAAAATCTGAATTAAGAACTGGAATTCTACGAGCCTTATTAATTTCACAGGATGCGTTTTGAGTTCCTTGCAGCAAATCCCAGGTTGCAACTGCTTATTTCAGAGCAAAGAGAAGCAGCGGGTCTTCGTTGACCGAGCAGCACTTGCTGTGTGATGTGACTCCTGGGTCCCTGTCCTCCAGCTCACTCTCTGAGCTGGCTGCTCACAGCGGAAGCTGCGTGAGGTTTCTCAGGAGTGACGCACGCAGTCGAGTGTCCAGGAGAGCTGTCCTGCAGAAACAGCTTCTGGCTCATTTTTTCCCTTTTGATTCAATGCAGTGAATATACTTGGAAGGGACCTAAAGGATACAATTTGGACAAGATTCACATTTTAAAAATGAAATAAAGCGATAGGAGAGTCACATCTGAGTTGGTTCTTCTAATTTAACTTTTCCAGCAAACAAAATAGAGAACCTTCTTCACAGTGTGCTTGGGAGTTGATGGGACAGACAGAGGGAGAGAGGGAGGCTAAGTAACCATGGATTGTGGGGCTGGCCCTGTGGCCTGGTGGTTAAGGGAACTGGATACCACATGACCAGCCGCTCAGTTTGAATCCAGCCCTGGTGGCTTATAAAACACACTGGATACGTGCATATGTGACCCAATTCCAGCAGAATGGAGAAATGGAGGAGAAGGAATTGTGGCACGACCACGCCCATTGAGGGGTATCTTGTGCCTCCCTCTTTCTCTGTGTCTCTCTAGCACTTGCATGCATCTTCTGGTGATTATTTAAAGAGAAAACAGTGGACTTGAATTATGCCTAGCATACAGAAATTTAGCTAGGCTTGTGGAAGGTAGTACTTACAGTCAATCCACTGAAAAGCATACTTATTGTCTAGTTTCCATAGCCTTTGATGATGAATGCAAACAATACACCCGTTGGTTGGCTGCTCTGCTTTTTTTCCCTGCCTCTCAAGAGTCCAATTAATACTCAGTCCAATAAAGTAATATCGCTAATATTTCTATTTTGCAATCTAAGATTTTATATCTCTATTTTTACCATATATCTTGGATTAAAAGTATGCAGATATAAATAAAAACCATCCAGAGACCTGTCACTGGAGTTTTTAGATAATAGTTGTAAAAATGACTTTTACCAAGGGGATGTTCTCTGCTCGGCTCTTTACGTGCACCATGTCTCCCCCCGCAACCTCGTGGAGCTGGTTTGAACCCAGCTCTGCGTCAGTCTACATGCCACCCTCAGAAGAGATACCGTATCTTGCTGCTTTTACACCTAAATTGGCAGCTGGGAACCGATTATTACCCCACTCTTACAAAGCTGACTCTTGCCAGTAAATTGCTCCAGATTGATAGGTATATTTTCTTTTTTTTGATTTTGTAATGAAAAAAGGGGGGGGAAGTGAGCTTTTAAATTATGGAACACGAAATTGCAGCTTATCCTACAGTGGTGTGTTATTAAGGCAGTGTGCCTTTTCTGCCCTTGTAAACCCTGACTGCTTATGTTGGTGAGTGTTAATTCAGACACTCCGAGAGCCCAGGGAAGTACTTTCAGTATGTCTGGAGAGATTTCGTAGCTGTCTGCTGTGGTAAGAGATGTGAACATACAGTTATTTGATTTAAGAAACTACCTTCTTTGGGAGGCAAACAGTTACGTACATTTAATCCTTCGGAATTCTTGTGGATTTCTTTAGATTTCCATCAAAAACTGTGTTAGGCCTTCATTTTCCCTATGCCTTTCCTCCAGTTTTGTTTTCAAATGAAAACTATCCAACTGACGTCAGTGAGAGCACAATTTGAGATAAAGGAGCTTTACTACCCAGCTTGAGCATCCCTAATCCAAAAACCAAAAACCTGAAATGTTCTAGCATCTCTAACTCTTGGAGGGCCAACATGACACAAGTGGAAACTTTCACATGACCTCGTGTGCTGGAACATGGTCAAAACCAGATATTATATGGTGTTACCTGCAGGCTGTGTCTAAGGTAAATTTGAAACAAATGAGGTTGATCTATAGACTTGGGTTTCAGCCCCAAGATACCTCGTTACATATAAGCCAATAGTATGAAAGTTGAAACACCCCGAAATTCTTCTGGTCCCAAATGTTTTGGGTGAGGGATACGCAGCCTGTAATGAGCCGTAGGAGGAATTGCACAAGTGGACTCTGGGATGCCTCAGAAGGTTAATGGGATACTTGAATCTTCTAACAACCGGTACGTGTGCCTTTCCTGTCTCTTCCAGCACCGCACGCTGGAGTCAGCCCCGCGGAGTACTACCATCAGATGGCGCTGCTCACCGGTCAGCGCAGCCCCTATGCAGACATCCTTCCCTCCGCTGCCACCGCCGGCGCGGGCGCCATCCACATGGAGTATCTTCATGCCATGGATAGTAAGTGATCAGGCTGTCTTTGGAGTCCGGGTCGGGGGAGGATGGTCAGCTTCTAATTTCCTAAAAGAAGAGGAAGATGCTGAGATCAGGTGACTGTCTCATTTTTCAGTCCAAAGGAAAAACTATCCAGGGATGCCCTGTTTATTAGCTCAAGGTTACCAGTAAGCCACCAGGTGCAGGTGAATGTTATATGACCACCGTGTATAAATATAACTGGTTTAAAAACTACCCTTCTCTTATTGTCTTGATTAAAAAAAAAGAGGGGCACAGAGACTCCTTGGTTTCATGGATTTTTTTCCTTCATTTTTTAATATTTGCCCTAGGATGTGTACGTTCACCAAGAGACAGAGAAAGGGAAAGTGAGAAGTCGCCCCCCATGGGGGAGGGCCACACCACGATCCCATCACCTCGTCTCCTCTTAGGATTTTGGGCACACGTGTACATGCACCCAGCATGTTCTTCATACCACCGAGCCTGGGACTTGAACTACAGAGTCAACCATGTGGGATCCAACACCTTAACCACCACACCATCTGCTGGCCCCAGTCCCATGGATTTTATGCTTTAACAGCTAATTTTTTTTTTTTTTTGGAGAGATTTTCACTGTAGGGCGCGTACGCTCGCCAGACAGACAGAGAGAGACATAGAGACAGAAAGCGAGAAATCACCCCCCAGGGGGGATGGTCACGCCGCAATCCCTTCTCCTTCATTCTCCTCTCGGGATCTTGGGCACGCACGCACACGCGCCCGGCGTGAGTTTTAAGCCACCGGGTCCGGGACACGAACCACGGTCGACTACGTGGGAGTCCAGCGACATAGCCATTACGCTAACTGCTGGTTCCCATCAGCTAATTTTTAAAAAAAGAACTCTGTACTTGATTTTACACTTTTTTTACAGAAGAGGTTTTTGCTTTCGGTTGTGTGCTGGAGAGAGAGAGACACACAGAGACAGTGAAAAAAAAAAAAGAGAGAAATCACCCCTCAGGACGGATGACTATGCCACCACCCCTTCTCCATTCTCCTTCCAGGAACTTGGGCACACATGCACACGTGCCTGATATGAGTTTCAAACCACCAGGTCTTGGACTCAAACTGTGATGAGTCATGTAGGAGTCTAGCCGTGCAACCACTCCGCTGTCTGCTGTCCTCTTGATTTCTATGTTACTTTTTAAAACATGTTGCCTCTAATGCCTGGTCGTTTGTTGGTTCTTTTCCTTCCTTCCTTCCTTCCTTCCTTCCTTCCTTCCTTCCTTCCTTCCTTCCTTTTCTCTCTCTCTCTTTCTTTCTTTTTCTTTTTAATTGTCAGAAAGAATGTGCCCTCACCAGAGGGGGAGAAAATGAACTCCCAATTAGACATGGACACGACATAACCTCTTCTCCTCCATTGTTCCTTGTGGGAGTTCAGGGACACGTGGACATGCACCCTGCATGTTTTTCAAGCCCCCGGGGCAGGGCTGTCTACCGCGATCAGTCATGTTGGATCCAGGTCCTCACGCACACACTTAACTGCTGCACCTCCAGCCCTGCAAGTCTTCTCTTTACGTTAAACAGTGATGTTTTATTGATCTTACTATAGCTGCTAAATACATAAAGGGTGAGTATAATTACATCTTTGAAAAATAAATACATTTCCAAGTCAGAAGGGGATACTTTTTGTACATATCAGTAGAAGAAAGTGGGATCATTTGCTGCATGTTGTATCTCTTATTCCGGGAGCCCTGGAGGCCGTGAGGATTCTTGGGTCACATGCATTGACTGATGAGCCCAGAGCATCCCAGAGTTCCCATCTACTCGGATCCATTGAGGACATATGCATTTGCTGGGTGCCCGCAGACTGACCTACAGCTTCTTTTACATCACACGTGTACAAATGCCACTACCGTGGGATGTAACAACAGCTACTAGCAGATGTCTAGCGGGCGTTTTGTCTGTTTCCCTGGCAGCAGTGACAAACATCTGCTTTTCCGTCTATAATCTCTGGATCCTTCTTTGACAGACAGTGCACATTTGTTGACTTTGTATTGATCCAATTCAGTCCCCAGGTTTGCAGTAGAGAGAAGGTGGTCGCTCCACACGGGTAAGTCCACAGTTTCAGTCTCCAGACCACTAAGACCTATCCAGTTTATTCAATGGGAAGATGCATTGCCTTGGTTTCTACTGGGGAGCTCATTACCACACACAAAGTAACAGAAAGGCGTTACATCTTCTGCAGGGGTTCTGTTGTTTGGCTTTGTAGAGTAGAGAGCTTACATTTCAGATTCATCATAACCACATTTCAATTAGCGATTGTGGGGGGAAAAAAAGTTCAGTGTTATTATGCAAATTAGTTATTTAAAATCTGCAAATAAAGAATTAAAATAAGAAAGAATCCTTGGAAGGTCAGCCCACATTGCTTTCCCTATTTGATGAGAATGTGTTTAGTCAGGCAGTGGCGGTTTTTATCTAAATAAGGATGAAGCTACCCTTTTTACTTTGTAAATACTAATTAAAGGAGTTTTAATTTGCCTGAGTATATGGTAAATTGATTGTCATTAAGTAGGAATTTAGATGTCCTATCATTCATCACATAAAAAGAAACCTCCTTTTTCTTTGTCAGAATTTTTTATTAGAATAGAGAAACAAAATAATTAACAGAACACCAGATCGGCAATATCTGTTAGAACAATGAGGAAGGTCTGGCGTGTGTGAGGAGGAAGCGGTGTATTCTGTGAAGAGCAGGCTCCTTGTCTTTCAGCTGTTTTGGAACTGTTCACCTTGTGTTTTAACGCCTCCCCTCGACAGAGGACCCCAGACCACTAACTTTCTTCTGTATGTTATCAGGGGGCGGGAAGGGCAGATTAAAGGTTTTCAAAGTGCTTGAGGTGCTATATGCTTCCTCCATAAAGCAACTGAAAGATCACTTAGTTGGGACATGAAAAGGTGAGCACCTAGAAATTTAAATCATAGTAGTTAGTATTAGTCATAACTTCCTACAGTAGGTGCCTGCCTCCAGTAGCAGATCCCACCCGGGGATTTCGCTGGTCACGCTGGTCTGTTATGGAGTTCCAGGACTCTTACTTGGCAGAAGCCTCTGGAAACTGGTTCAGGTGCGTGCCTGGCTTTTCAGTGTGCTCACAGCAGACAGTTCTGGGTTTTAGCAAGATACAGGGCAGAGTGTGTGTGCAGTTAGAACAAACAAGTCTAACCATGGCACAGTTCTACCTCGTGGGAGTAGAGCATCTTAGTAGATGCGAGATCACGTAATCCCTATAAGGAATATCCTAGAGGCCGGGGCACCTGAAACCCACACTACATATACCGACTGAACTGACTTAAGATCCAGCCTTGGAGGGAAAAAAAAACAGAGTGAGAATGCTCCAGCTCGGTGGTGTGTGACCTGAAGGGTCCACGTGAAAGCTGAAGACGTCTTCTGAGGTCCCTGGGCCCTATCTGTGTGTGATGTGAAGGGAAGACAAGGCCTTGGTGTTTTGTAACCCCAAGTGGCCTCCTTACCTCTTATATCTACCTTTTAGTTTATGGTTTTAAAATGAGAGGTTAGTGAGTTAAAAAACTGGAGATGTGGGTCAGCCCCATAGCCTACTGGTTCAAGGAGCTGGATTCCACATGGCCGACCACAGCTGGAAACTTGACATCAGCAGCTTGAAAAACATGTCAGGTGCATGTACGTGCCAAAATCCAGACAGGATGGGGAAATGGAGAAGGGGGCGCTGCTCCCTCTGTCTGTCTCACTCTGGTGAGCACACGTGGACTCTGGTAATTAAGAGACTCCGAGCTACATCCCTGCGAACAAGATATTTAGCATCTCTTATTTCTGACACTGCCAGTGATCGCTAAATCCATTAGGAAGGGCTATTGTTGAGGATCACGTGGAAGTTGATCATAAATGTAATTTCTCTTTGGTCTTTTTTGGTTTTTTTTTGGAGAGGTTTCTGCTATAGGGTGCATGCGTTCGCCAGACAGAGAGAGAGAGAGCCAGAAAGTGAGAAATCACCCCTGGGGGGGATGGCCACACCGCAATCCCTTCTCCTCCGTTCTCTTGGGGTCTTGGGCACGCACACACACGCGCCTGGCATGAGTTTTAAGCCACCGGGTCCGGGATGTGAACCGCAGTCAACTACGTGGAAGTCCAGTGACATAGCCATTACACTAACTGCTGGTCCCGTCTCTTTGGTCTTGTTTGGAAGTGGCAAAATGTTTCTGAAAAATTTCTAGGATCAAATTGACCTCTTCTATTGAATGAATGTGCAAATTGTGTTCAAGGCCAATGCCATAGGAAAAGTAAAATGCTGATTTTAATCCCTAAAAATGTGTTGTAGCTGAGATTGTTATTTTGAACTGGAATGACCTGAATGAGGCTGGTAATGAAACTATTCTAAATGGAGGCACTCACTTTAAAATGTGCCTGAAAGAAAGATTTAAGTAGCTACCATTCATCATTCAGATTGGTGTTCTAGGTTTGTACATGGATGTTACTAAATTACTGAGTTCCAGTTTATAGTTTTTTCTTTAAACGGTTTCTGTAGGATTATAGAAATGTCTCATTTTATTAAATTACTTCAAGGTATGTTGTATTATTGTCTTATGTCAAGATATGTCTCTGCTGAAGAAAGTACTCTCATTGAACGTTTGGGAGACCGAGTTTCCGTAGAGATACCTACCTGTGGCTTTCTAGATGCCACAACTTGCCCTGCTCCTGTAAGCTGGTATACCTGTGCTGAGAAAGAGTAGAAACTCTCCGTTTTTATTTAAAACTAGTGGGATTATGTTTTCATTCTTTCCCTTAGGCTTTAGTTTGACGATTTTCTAACATAAATGTGACCTTCAAAAACACACTGAGTGGACCTGTGGGCCACCTTTGCTGTTCCCCCTGGAATTCATATCTCTAATACCAACCAAACTGAATACAAATGGGCATTTCATTTTTAATGCCTCAGGTGAAAACTACTGTAATAAGTTGGCATGCTTGTAAGTTTGGTACTAGCCTTTAGGTAGGACTCCATTGGTGGGGTCTTGTTGAAGGCTAAAAATGCTAATAAATGCACCATCCACTCTTAGTTCTGACTGGAGAAGCAAAGCCCAGAGGAAAGTGAAAATGTTATATAGCCTCATCTAATATCATGTTTGCAGGGGTTTGTGCTCTACCTTGGAAAATGTGTAAATAAGCAACAGCCCAAGGTTCTGAGATTATGGGGAAGTTAAGTTAGGGGTCCTCAACCACTTTCTTAGAGCAGGGGCCACATACTCTGTATTGAAGGGGTGGAGGCTCTGCAGGGAGGGACGTGCAGCAGCGTCACTGTCTCCCCACTAAATTTAGAGCACCCCATGAGCTGTGCCAATCAAAATATCTCCAGATGTTGTCTAATATCCCCTGGGGGGCAAAATTGCCCCCAGTTGAGGACTACTGATTGAAGGTAATGGATTTATAAGTTGTTTTAGTAATGCTTTAAGTATACCATGGAGCAGATAACTGTGGAAATTATGGAGAAATGAGGGCATTACTAAGCTGAATATTTTTTTTCATCATTTTTTTCTTTCAGCTCATTGCCTTAAAATGGTATGGGTCGGGGTGGGGAGGGTGGTGTGTTGTAACTGTGGGAACCACTGTCTTTGTCGCTTGTGGTGAATTAATGATGGGAATATCTAAGCAGCCGTCAGATTCATAAATCACTAGAAATGAGAGGGATAGCACATAAAAGTCTCTCCCTTTTGTTTAGCAATTTATCATTTTGCCTGCACATTAATAAACAGAGCTCCCCCGAGGTAAGCCCCTGGAAGATAAATATTTCTTCCTAATTTCCTCAATTGTAGCCAGTAGATCACGAGGGGGGAGGAGAGGTGTTTGTCACCACCCGTGGCCGGCTGCTTATCCTTCACTTCTTCCCCACAGACGCGCAGCAATAAATAACGCGGATAGAGTCCAACGGCAGGTAATCAGGTTCTGTTTTGTTTATATAACAGGCACCAGATTCTCCAGCCCCAGGCTGTCAGCCAGGCCGAGCCGAAAGCGCACGCTGTCCATATCACCACTGTCCGATCATAGCTTTGACCTTCAGACCATGATAAGGACGTCTCCCAACTCCTTAGTCACCATTCTCAATAATTCCCGTAGCAGTTCCTCCGCTAGTGGCTCCTACGGCCACTTATCTGCAAGTGCAATCAGGTACGTATCTTCCGGAATCCATTCTGTGTGATTTTAATGAAGTGTCAGCACTCGGCTGTCCCAGTACTGATGTATGTGCAGTACCGACTGCATATGAGCAAGAATACGGCAGCCTGACGCTGACCCGATGCAGGTCGAATAATCGTGACAGTGAGTGGCAAAGCCAGTTCCTGGGCCAAAAACACGCTGGTTATTTTTGCAGACCTGAGTCAGTAACACATGCGTAGAAATGGCAGTTACTCAGTTACAGTGAAATCCGCTCCCTAAATTCAGTCTAACCAATCATTTTATCTAGGCCTTCTCTCGCTAATTCTAGTCCTCCAGAGAACACCAGACTTCATACCTGCTGGTATGACACGTGTACAGAACAGGAGCAGAAATAAAAAGACCAGTGATGGCCAAAATCTTGCACAGCTGTTAAGGGAAAGGAGTCTGTGGAGGGGGAGAAAAAAAAGTTAACAGGATTTTTAGTCTAATGGAAAATAAGTGCAGATGATAGAAGGCACAGTTACCGGGAAGTGGAAAAAGAAAATTCCCTTGTTTTCCTGTTACGTGTCTTCAGCTTAATGGGAATGATCTCTATTTTGACACACTCCTTTGCAGTACAGGGAGAGCGCTCTGACACTCCTCACACAGAGCACGTCGTGTCTCTGCTTGCCTGTGTAGGTATAAGCATAGTCTTTTTGTAAACACAGTTAATAGAAAGTATTTCTCTCTGCTGGTCGTCAAGCTGGGGTTGATATCAATACATAGGGAATAAAAGTAAGTCAGCTTAGGAATTTTAAGTGTGTTTACACTGCTTTTTGTCAACAAGTAATCATTTATTGTTTGAACTGAGCTTGTTCACAAATAGCTATTTCAGACACAGAATTAGAGTTAGATTTTATTCTAATTAATTAAGCAATCCGGCTCGTAAATGTTAGCTCTTATGTTTTCCTAGGACTTTTTGCCGGTGATTTAAGAATTCAGTAACTAACCATGTTTTTCATTACAATCTTACAGACCATGCACGAGCCCTTTCTTATTTATCTATTTTTTTAAAATTAATTTACCAGAAGGCACTTGCACTTGCTGCTGGAGAGAGACAGAGAGAGGGAAAGTGAGAAAGCATCCTCTTGCAGGATGGCCATGTGGTAGTCCCTTCTCCAGTTCTTCATCCTCTTGGGATGTGGGGCATGCATGGCTCAGAAACCAGTCCAGGACTCAAATCATGAGGTCGGTCACATGGGCTGCAACCACTGTACCACCACTCCACAAGCTGGCCTGAGCCCGCACTTTTAAAAAGTACATACTAGGGAGCAGCAGGTGGTGTGGTGGTTGGGGCCGTGGACTCCCACATGACTGACTGCAGGTTGGTTCCTGAACCTAATGGCCTGCTCTCTCATTTTCTCTTTCTCTGGTGAGCATATATGACCTATTACAAATTAAAACAATTACAAATTGTAATTCTTTAAAAATAAATGTACAGACTAAAGGCATCTTTATTAGCTCTGCCTTTACTAGGTAAGGTTTTATTTGTTTCTGTGAATGAGCAGTAAGATTAGTGTTAGTTGATGAGTTTTCTGTGATGGATATGCATGTTAGCAACACCCTCAATAGTCCTGGAAACAAATGTTAGCAATAGTAATATGCCCATATTTACCAGAAATAATGAAGATTCTCCATTACAGTTTCTTGTTCAGTTATCAGTGATGCTGTCAGGTAAGTTGGTGTTTAAATATTACAAATTCAAAGTGTGATACTATGTCACCTTCTGCTTCTGTCCTCAGCCAGCAGTGCAGCCCAACTTACACTTCAGCCCTGAAATTCAGTTTTCATATTTGTAAACTATAGATAAGACACCCACTATATAGGAAAGGGGCAAGTTTTATTTAAATCAGGGGACCTGCAGTGGCGGGAAGGTATCCCTAGCCATGGGCACAGCCTCAGGAGAACCGACCCAGCATAGCCCATCAGGAGAGGAGTTACACTGTCCCAGCCTGGCCCTGAGGAGGTGTGCTGGTCTCGGAACCATGGCCTGGCCGTTCCTACATTCCTGGCCATAATATTCCCAGGTCTTAGCCTGCCTTGTGCCACATCTCATTTGCTGAGATTATGCGGTTATCGTGGGTTTAAAGAAGTCCCAGTATTCAAGTGGTGAACATGTGGTACACAGTCCAATTTACACCAGCAATACCACAGAATCGGTCTTGGAGCATGCCTCTTCCTTCTCTTTACTTTTCTTCTCTCCGCCCAAGTGTTCTGACTTTTCATAGCATCTAAAGGATGTAGATAAGGAACAGCAGTTGGCATAATGGCTATGTTGCTGGACTCCCATGTAGTCGACTGTGGTTCGAGTCCTGGACCTGGCAGCTTAAACTCACACCAGGTGCATGTGCATGCATTCCCAAGATCCTGAGAGGAGAATGGAGGAGAAGGGATTGCAGCATGGCTATCCCCCCAGGGGGATGATTTCTTGCTTTCTGTCTCTCTGTCTCTCTCTTTCTGGTGGGTGCACGCGCCCTATAGCAAAATCTTCTCCAAAAAATAGAAAAGGATATAGGGTAGAACGTGGCACACACATGGTCAAGTTGTTATTGTTATGCTTACCCGATCTTCAATGACTTTTGGTTACCTTAGCTTTGCTCAGGTAAGCTAGCATCGGTACTTGCGAGACCATCAGTATCCTGATTTGAAACAATTACTTTTCCCCTCTGCCTTTAAGGCTGTATAGCAGATCTCTTTATTCTCATTGGCAATAGAAGAAAAGAGTCACTTTAAAGACACTGAAGTCCATGATTGCCCCATGACCTAGTGGACCCCACAGGGTTGACCGTTGACCATGGTTTGAATCCCAGTCCCGGTTACTTGAAACACTTGCTGTGCATGTGCATCTATGTTTGTGTGTGTGTGCCCAAAATCTTGATGAGATGAGGAAATGGAGAAGTAATGATAGCATGATCACACTCCACTGGCAGTGCTTTCTCTCTCTCTCTCTCTCTCTCTCTCTCTCATCCTGGTAAGTGCACATGCCATCTGGGAATTAAAAAAAAAAAGAAAAAGTTACTTTAAAGATCAGTTAGGTTCAAGGAGATGCTGGACTGGGTTAGCTGACCCTATGATACATTCATTTCTTTCTTGACTTGAGCCTTTTCATGCATCTTCTTTCTCACAGTGTGATCTCTCTCTCTCTAGTGCACACCCACGGGAGCTATGCTATATTGGTGCTAATGCATAGAAGGCAACCCAGAAGATAACCCCCGATGAGATCAGGTTGCCATATGATACAGCGATTATGATTGTCATCGGCACCAATTGCCAGTCCTTTACCTGGAGAACCGTTAGTGCACTGGTAGCCTCTGCTCCAAGTTTAATTTTCATGAGATCTAAGACCTGACTTTAGGTATCATCTGTTAGTGGTAGGGTCAGTGGATAACAGGGAAGGGAAAGAAGCTTGCAGACATCTGAGAAAGGTAACTAACTTTCTCAGGCTTGGGAGATGCAAGAGAGAATGTAACATCAGGTGCATTTCATCTCTGCAGTGTACACAAGGCACCTGCACTGTTTGGGGTTCTAGAAAGCCAGCAGCGTGATTCTTGTTTTACACAGCACAGTGGTCTTTGCAGAATGAAGCTAGCAAGTCCCATGCCCGGTGGATCTCCATGCCTGCTTTCTAATCCTCTTATTTATTTATCCCAAATACATTTGATTTTCACACTTACCTTCTTTCTTTTTCCTTTTTCTTTCTTTTCTTTTTTTGTCTTTTGTCTAGATTTATTTATTTAATTTTATCTATTACTTATTACTTTTTTTTTTTTTTAATTTTGTACACGGCACTTGTGCTCAGCAGAGAGAGAGAGAGAAAGCAACCCGTCAAGTGTGGGACTCAAACCTCAGTCAGCCGTGTCCAAGTCCAGTGCCCCAACCACAGCACACCACCTGCTCTCCCCAACACTTACATACTTTCTAATGTCTTATTTGTTGTTGGGATTGGCAGGGCTTAGGACAAGGATGTTTCACTTTCTAAAGATGTTATTAAATGTTTGAAGATGCTCTAGTTTTATAAAAAGTGCCTCAGCTGTTCATATTCATGCCCTCGTGCTAATGTTGCTCTCAAAGTGGCTGACGATAGGGTTTATGCCATGACTTACAATTTCTGTATTCGTTTGCTCATTTAGTGATGTGCTGTTTCCCTGCAGTGCAGCCCAAGCACCAGAAAGTTATGGGTGTGCACGTCTGGTCCCACGCCCTGGACCACTGGTCCTCTCACATCAACAGCATCAACAGATAATTCTCAAATGAATAAATTAAGAAGATCTTTAATAGGTAGTTAGAATTCTGGGGCTGGCAGGTGGTGTGGTGGTTAAAGGTGCTGGGCTCCCTCATGGCTGACCACAGTTTGCGTCCTGGACCTGGTGATTTGCTTTCTCAACCCCCCCTTTCTGATCAAACTAGAAAATAATAATTAATAAAGCTAAACAAAAAATAATTTAAGAAATAAGTAGTTAGAATCCTAATTGTCCCCTTTATTAAAGGAAATTGCCAGGAATAAATCCGATTTTCTTAAAATTACAGACTATATGTAGATAAGCATGTAGAGAAATTCAGGGATGGATACAGAATAAGTAAGTTTGTCTGTGGTTCTCCTGTTAACTGAATTATTCCGACCGCTATACAAACACCATATAAGGCATTTATTTACAAAAGCCTGCTGGCATATTAAAGCAGAGTCCTTGAGGGGCCAGCAGGTAGTACAGCAGTTACATTGGTGGGCTCCCATCTTGCTGACTGTGGTTTCCATCCAGGACCCTGTGGCTTGAAACTCGCGCCAGGCACGTGTGTGCGTGTGCCCAATATCCTGAGGAGAATGGAGGAGAAGGGAATGTGGCGGCCAGCCCTCTGGGATGTGACTCGCACTTTCTGTCTCTCTGTCTTTTCCCTGTCTCTCCAGTGGATGCATGCACCCTATAGCAAAAAATCTCAAAAAAACAAAAAAACAAAAAAAAAAAACAGGAACCGAA